CAAGTGTGCTATTTGATCCACTCTTTGCAGAGATATCCTCTCCCTTGTGCAATTTCCCTGGCTCTTCAGGCCAAGGAAAAGTTCCTGAAGCAGACAGACAGACAGAGGTGGAATCCCTTAGGTGTAGGCCAGAATAAATTAGGTCAGGGCCTGAAGCCATTGGAAGGAGGCATCTGTACCAGGGCCAAAGTCAGGGTAAAGTATGTCCTGCATCTGGGACAGGTAGGAAGTGAGGGCTGCCAGGGGTCCAGAGGAGCATGAACCAGAAACCAGAAGCCCCTGAAGGTGCTACTCGGCGCTGAAAACATGGGGCAGCCCCAACCCAGGAACTCCAGCAGCCCACGTGCTTCATGGGCCCAACAGGATAAGAGGAACCCTGGGAACCTGGGATGAGCCTCCCCACTGGAGGGACCCCTGGGACAGGAGTGTTTTTCACCTGGGCACACAAAGTCATAGACAGACAGGTCCTGAGGCTCCACCTGGACCTTGGCAGCTCTCCCCAAGCTCTTCCTTGCCGTGGGTGCCATGGCTACCGCTGCCTCGCGTTGCACAGGAGCCCAGAAGCTTGAGAGGGCAGGGATGCACTAAAGAAGGCGGGAGGTGTCAGAGGAGAAGCAGGGCGGGGGGGCTTTGTGGTTGTAGATTGGTGTGGCCTCACGCGTGCCCTGGAGCCAGCAGGGACAGGAAGGATGGATCCAGGGTTGAGTCCTGCCCGTCCAATACTGTTCCTGTGTATGTGTGCTGGAGCCAGAGGGGACGGGAAGGATGGGGCCTCGCCATGATCAAGTCCCACCTGCCCCTTCCAGTCCCATCCCACTGCAGGAGGGCTGGAGTCCTAGGGGAAGGGAAGGATGGAGGGGACGGGAAAATGTTGTCAGGGTCAACTCCCTCCCCCACCGATGACACCAGGCCAGGGTCTAGTGGCGTCCAGTCCTGTTCCCTTTCCAGTCCTGTTCTGCTGCAGGAGGGCTAGAACCCCAGGGGATGGAAAGGATGGCCTCAGGGTAGACTCCCACCCTGTTCCAATGTGGCCCCATCCAGTCCCACCCCACTGGAACCCAGGGGATAGGAAGGATGGCCCCAGGGTCTAGCCCTGTCCTGTCCAGTCCCAGTCCCGCTGGAACCTGAGGGGACATGGGAAGGATGGCCCCAGGGTCGAGCCCCACCCCGACCCTCAGGAACACTAGGAGAAGGGAAGGATGGCCTGGTGGTCGAGCCCTGCCCATTTCTGTCCCTCTGGAATATTAGAAGGGAAGAATGGCCCCAGGGTCAAGCTCCGCCCTGCCCCGCCCCACCCAGCCAGAACTTGAGGGGTCAGGAAGAATGGCCCCAAGGTGAGTCCCCCCTGTCCCCGTCCAGTCCAGTCCTAGTCCTGCTGAAACCCTAGGGAAAGGGAAGGATGGCCCCAGGGTCTAGTCCTGCCCCGCCCTGTCCCATCCTGTCCCACCCAACCCATCCAGTCCCGTCCAGCTACACAAGGGCCCCAATTGCCCCGCGCTCCTCCAACCCTCCGCCTCAGGCGCCTCTGCGGGATCTCGCTGCTCGGGTCCCCAGATGACCCCGGCTGGTGGCCACTGGGGAGGGCAGACGGTGGCCACACGACCCACTAAATGACTCCTCAGTAAGTTCCGTGGGAAGGGACCCCTCTGCCTGCACCAGTCTGGCACACCAAGGGAGGACACAGCCCCTCTCTGTTCTCTCCCTTGGGAAAGCCTCAGGGTCGCCTCAGGGGCCCGCGTGTCCCCTGATGAGGGCGGCCCAGCACCAGGGACAGCGCGGGCGGATCCTCCCCGCCAGGCCTCCAGCATCGCGGAGACCCTCCCGCCGCCATCAGGGCCCTTCCCTTCCAGACGCGCGCTCC